CTTCCAAGTAATTCAAGTGATCGGTGGACGACGTATATTTACGTTGATATATACATGTCTTACATAGATTTATATTGACGTTAATGCTTTGTGGGGGAATCTATACGCGAGATAACTTTAACAACAGTTGACAGTTTAGATGTACCCGGCCGTAGAGCCATGCCCTTTTCTGTTGACAGTTCGAATCAAATATCTAGTTGAAAGTTCTGAGAGAACGGCCTCCTGAATGACAACAACGAGAGGGATACATGTATCGATGCGCGATCCCGAGGGATATGTAGTTTCTTACGCAAGAACAGGACCGCACACGGTCTGATTTCGAAAGACGCAGAGCTTCCTCGCTTCTCTCTAGAGGGTAGTTTTAAAATTCAACCCCCGCATACGAAGGACTAGGGGGACGTGTGTTACACGGCACTCATATCAATCCCGAAGATCGATATAAAGCCTGGTGAAAAGATAAATATATATCTTATAATTATATCGAATTTTATATATCGGCTTCTAATACCTTATAATTATATATCGAAAGAAACAACGTTTGCCATTCTGAAATAATTACATTTATAAAAGTATTATAGCTTTATAATCTCTCTAATGCCAGAATAAAAAAAAAATAACAAATGCTTCTCTGTGTAACGTGAAAAAAAAGGTCCGATTGAAATACCAGCGATTCAGATCAATGCAGTTATCCGGAGTCAAATTGACAACATAATTCTTTTCACGAAAACGTTTTTATTTCCCTGTTTTCCAATTAATCACCTCCCATGGCATGACAAAATCATGGATTCTAGGTTACGTTCGAATCGCATGTTGTGCATATCAGAAGCGGCTGGCCACGTCGCGCTAATCGTATCGATCGAGCACTCTTAATCCATTAATGAACTTCCCAGGCTCGTTTTACCCTGGGTATCCGGGCTTTTCGCAGGCGCCGTCTGTATCTGTTACATCCCGCCGTTAAGTGTGTGTACGTGTGTGCGAGAGTATGCGCCTTTACTTCACGTACGGTCACCGACAAAAGTTTAAATTAAAACTGTCCCAATTACCTCAATTTGTGGCTCCGCGATAGATAATTTTTAATATCTTACTACATTTACATCTTTATTATATAACATCTTAAAAAAAAGAAAATTGATTAATTATATAATAAGAGCTGTTATTTAAAATATATTAAATAAAAATATAGGTGTAATTTAAAATATATTAAAAGCTCATAAATTCTAAAGCATAAGATGAATCTTTAAACGCGTTTGTATCTTCTACTTGTTTACTTCGCGAATTAAACTTTGCATCTTTTTATGTGTTCTAGGTTCTTGGAAACTTTTACAACACAGCCGCGGTCCATGCACTTTTGGCTACGACTCTACAAGCGTGCGTATGTATGTATTTGTATAATGCGACACTTTACAGACTCTTGTTGGTTGACAGTGATTTTCCACGGGATACAAAACTGTCGTTAGACCCTTTTGCGAAAAGGTCCGTGTCTGCACCCCTTGTACGCAGTTCACCTAAAACTTTTCCTACGAACCGCACACGAGGGTGTAACGCTGTATATCGAAGGGTTAGAAATTTCTCATTGTTCCTCTCTTCCTCCGTCCGTTGTATCTTTCTTCCGTTCACGTCTGACGTTTCGCTGAAAAATTTAGGACTTTTTCCTTCTTGAAAATAAATAGTCAGATATTAATTGTAGCGCTTTAATAGCAATCGAAATGAAACAAATATATAAGTTCACACTTTTTTGACGATACTTGAGCACACATATATTATATGTATATTTTAATAATATATACATATAAAAAATATACATACATATAAATCTATATAAAATATACATATATGTTCTTAGCAGTTCGGCATCTCCTGTATGCAAAAACTGTAAGAATCGACTGAAATTCCTTTTACAGAACCGCCAAACAAGCGATGAGTCTCTTACGCCGCCTTCATCCGAGACAACAAATTCCTCAAATATTTATCTGTCTTGCACCCTCGAATCCCTCTGGTACGTCGCCCCAAACGCCACTTCCGTTTCGCACTCGGCGAATGTGTCAATTCTGACGCCTATCGACATATGACAAACACCCTTCTCGTCTCCCGCTAGTTGTCGTCTTGTCCTTTCTGACATCCCTGACAATCGGGACAAAAGAACGATGTAAAAGGGAGAAAGTTGAGGGCGAAGATAGAAGATACGGCGTTTTCGAAATTCTTTTTTTTTTTAATAGCTGTTAGAAAATATTAATAGTCAATTAAAAAATAGCAGTCAAAAACAGCAGTTAAATTTATATTTTTGCTTTGTTAATAGTCTTGTTGAATATCATTAGCCAGTAAAAATCAATCGACATTTCACAATATATACTTATATTCATAATCTTATGAAAAATTATAGACAGACATCTAGACGATACAAGAGTTTAAAAATGTGTTCTAACCGCAAAGTAGGCAAAAGAAATTCTATTTATCTTCTATGCCGGATAGCTGGAATCTCCGTCGATTAGATCGAATGTTCGTGACACGTCTCGCGCTCCGGCTGCATGCAATTAATTTATTTTTCCCCGCTCGAGCGTTAATTGTTAAACTTAGATGGGCGGTCGTCGACGATTCCGCAGTTAGACTCCGAGATCGAAAGAAGGAGACGGCGAGCTACTAAGAAGAGAGAGGGGAAAGAGACAAGGATGTGCGACCGGACGTCCAATGTGCGACGGGATGGAGACGAGGAGGGACGATCGTATGAAAGACGACGGCAACGACGGAGAAGAATCGTGGAGGGTTGTATGCTGCTGCTAGGCCGGCGGCAGACCGAGACGAGAGAATCGAGAAGTTCCCGCGAAGGGAGGCGGGAAGCCAAGACACGGCGCGCGACGGATGGATTGGGTTACTGAGATAATTAGAACGATCGGCGCGATGCACGCCTCGTTGAACGATTCTTTTTCCAGCCGGTCGGCGGTTGGTTTCGTGTTTTCGAGAGCGAAGCGATAAAGGAAACGAGAAAAGTGCCCACTGAGGGAAGATACGATCGCTGATGCGTGCCATGCCCGGGCAATCTCCCGGGGAGAGGGAGAGCGTCTTCCTCGTCGATAAGTCTCAACAACGGAGATATTACGGCACCCCAGTGACATATTTTTATGCGCCGCAGCTACGACGTCGTCGCGCGATTGGTCGTTGAAGTCGTCGCCCCGTGAGATCGCTTGACCGGAAATGTGTAGCCGTCGTAAAAACATTCCGGCACGGCGCGCACGCTTTGTCCGACCGGAATATTCATCGCGATTCTCTCCGCGAGCACGCGTATATTCCTCGGCGGCGATCTCTTTCTCGTCGCGGCAGGACTTTTTTGGGAGAACCGATCCGCCGAAGATACATCGTCGTATCGCTGTAGAAAGTCAACGTTATCGGACAGGGAAGATCTGTTCTCGTTTCCGACCTCGCATAGTTTTCAGATTATGTGCCTCCGCGCTTATACGACGTCGCGCTTGACTTTACTCTATTTACGTTGAGGGACATCTGAATATTTAATCGGCTCTTCAACCAACCCCGCCTGCCTCGCTTGCCTCCGCAAAACCCCCGCTTTCCCGGTCCCAGTTGCGGTGAATTATTTAACGCCCGCAAGGGAGACCGGTTACCTATGCGAAGCGCGACGTGTTATCGTCGAGATTTTAGTATTCTTTGTTTATTGTTTCCCTGTCACGTACGATATCAATGACCGTGTGACTCTGTGAGCACCGCTGTGAGCCATGAGCAGCATTAATATGCAGTAATAATACTTGGGAATGGGCCGAGGCATGTCATAAATTCAATTTATCAGACGCACAGTTGGACGAATAATCAAATTAGGCAGACAATTACTTGGAGAAACAATTCAGACTGAAGAGAATAAAATAGAATATCATTTTCATTATATACATTCTTTTAACGCATACGATCGATATTACACGTATTTAATATGCGTAACATAATTATCTCAAAGCAATAAATCGTATATTAAAATTCACAATCATGAGAGGATAATGATTCTATTACGTTCTGTAGATATATATTAATCGAAGAGAAAAGTTAAGCTTAATTCTATTGAGCGCGTGTTTTTATCTCATTTAGTACATAGAAATGCTGAAATATTCCGGTCCAAATAAGCCGAAGACGAGGTGGGAAGTTATTTGCAGGAGTTTCCCCCGGTTCCCCTTGTTGAAACCAAATCGGTAAATGCGCAGGACGATTGTTCGACAAATAGAGGTCGGGAGTAAATAATGTGCAAACACAATTCCTGCTATGTATTGAAAGACGTAGTAGTCTTCTGCCAGCGTACGCGCACGTTTTATGTTTGATGAGAAAATCAAAATGCAATATTTGCACGATAGTGAAAAAGATTATTGAATAAAATTAAATTTTCAGACGTATTTAGGAATGTGTATACATTTTTATTTACGATATAAAATGTTGCTCAGTTTGAATGTATAGTGTGGTTCAGAATGAGTTCTTCGAATGTAGCGCTTCTCGTGGAGAATGACGGTACCATGTAGGCAACCATGTTGACTGTGTTCGAATGTGTGTTGTTCAGTGAAATACCTTATTTCTCTTCTATTGGTAATGCCTTTCCCCGCCTCACATTATTTTTTATTAATGCGAAAAAAAATGTGATAAAATTTTGTACTCAAGATATTTAACATAGCAACAACTTTGCTAGAAAGGCTTTATAATTTCTTTTATTTAAGCCGTTAAAATTTAAATGTTGTCATCATTGACGTTACCTTCCATTTTTTTCCTCTTCATTCTTTAAATTTCTATCTTTTATATCTGTTTTTATTTTAAATCATTGGCAAGATTTGATCATTTGATCATATAAAATGTACATTAAACGTATTATTATGCCTAGGCACAATTATTTTTACACTCTTCAACAATGTTATCGTGTGAAGATTAGATATGATCTTAAGCAGAGTGCGCTAGGTTGTATGCTTCTCTGTTCTTTGTCACACAGCTTCGAATTTAGAATGTAACAGCTCAAACGGTAAGTGCAAGAATAAACTGTCATCGATCTTGAAATGACGCCCTCGCAACACGTCAAAGCGTTGAATACGTCATGTGCCACCTGTTACAGTAATCGTTGCAGTGATAAGCAAATGATCATGTCTGCGGTCTGATTTCAAGCTTTAAGGATTCAAAGAAGATAACACAACGACTTATCGTCGTCGTGGCGCAGAAGCAGATTCGATTCTAGTGTTGAATGCAGTAACCATACAATGGCGGAGGGACCGGAATTAAGTTATTTCGATTTGCGCACGGTACACGATCATTTTGATCAAGCTCTCCTGGAAAATGACGATATCGATCTGAAAGAATACCTAGACGCCTACAGCGAACTATATAAGTAAGTTGGATCGTTGACTTATTTTTCATCATTTAACATAACCTTTACTCATCGTGCATGAATCTCAAATCGTTAGGTATCTGATTTATTATGGTTGACATTTGGCAGGTAATCTTTGACATCTTTGCAACATATCTAAATGATCTAAATAATTAAAAGCAAATAACAGTTATATTAAATATTGTGTATATTGTCTTTAATACAAAATTTAATAAATTTTAATTAAATATGTAACAAGTAATAATATAAAAACTGTAATTCTTTAACATTATTGTAATTACATTTCTTTTGCTGCTATCTGTCACTTTATTTGCCTCGTTAACTCAGCAAATTGATTGTATTATCTGTTATTAATCTGTGATATCAGATTTGAGATTACGTTTATATAAGAGATTTGTGTTTCGTGCACATGCAGATTTTTTCAGCTGATGGGCAGTGTCTTCAGTTTTGTCTCTTCCGATCTGAAGCAAAAGATAGACGTACTGGCTGAACTGAAAGATAAAGACGCTCAGAATTATACAACTGTCATATCTATGATTGAATATGAGAGAGACAACAATCTTCTAAAGAAACCCAAGTTTGTCAATGGCGCACGTACTTTATTGCGACTACACAGAGGTTTAGGTACTACATTGTTATACCTCTTGATATTATTTAGAAATTCGCAGCTGACTTGCGTTACTTGACCTTCTAGATTTTATTAAGGTATTTCTACTACAACTGAGTGATCTCTCGGACCTCGATAAAACGGGTCGTTGTTGTCAAGATGCGTATAACAAAACCCTAGCCGAGCATCATCCATGGGTGATTAGAGAAGCTGCAAAAGTTGCGATGTACACTATGCCTTCTAAAGAGGCTTTGTTGAAAAAGGTAAATGAGTTACCAGAATTGCTTTAGAATTACGAAATAGATGATATATCTAGAATAGATTACTTCACTTGCATTTGATCCTCAGGTCTGCGGTGACAATGTTCAGCGGAACATAGATGTTTTGCCCAAAATGTTGGAGGTGACTGGGGACGTGTTAAGCCGCACTCATAAAATTTATGACATTTATGAGTTGCACGGTCTACCATGAACGATCGTAGAAAATGAACAAAGGAATTACTTCATCTGAAACGTCTAGCTTTCCGAAATACGGCACGCAACATTCCGCATGTATTCAAGATATTGTGCATTGCGATATTACTAAGACATTGTAGAATTAATATTTTCAATTAATTCTTAATAAATAAGCGCCAACTTATTTACGAGAATACGTACTTCTTTATAATTGATATTATACGTATGTAAAATTAGTATACTGATAATGTACAAATAGTGGCACAAGCGTACGTAAGTATATCACTTATGTAATGTGATTTCTTTTGTCATTTTAATTTACAGTTAATATATGTTATTGGGCTCGAAATTAATTTTATTAGGTTTAAACAACGTTTCTGGTCAGGCTCGGCAATGTGCGCTATTTATATAATATATTTCTATGTTGTATAAAAATTTATTATCTGATAAAAAGATTATAATAAAGTTTATTTCATTCTCTTTTTATTATTATTATTACCAGCAATACCTCTTATCTATTATTACCTCTTAATATTTATTCATCATCATGTGGCATAGAGAGTTATGCTTCTGCTCTTTATGCCGCAGATCCGGATTCAAATCCGACCGCATCAATAACAAAACAAAAATATCTGATTTTATTCAATCGCCATCTCTCGAAAAAGGTAATGGCAAATTACCGAGAGTATCTTGCCCTGTGCACATATCATCCAAATAAAATTAATTGATCCCCCTATCAACTGGCCAGCGTGATAGAGAAAATATATTACTACCTCTTAATATTATTAGAAATAATTTAATATACTGGAATGTAGTAATTAATTACTTATTTTGAGTATTAAAAGCACTAAACAATAATGCTTTAACACTTGAAATAGGTAATTTTCAAAATTAAATATTATTAAATTGGCCATTATTAAATTGGATATCTGGGCTTATAATTATTTTGCAGTTGTTTTGCTTACTGTCATTTCTCAAAGCGGAAAATTTTAAAGATGAGATGATTAATATATGAAGTTCAATGCGATATGTTCACTACATTAGAATTAGGAACTGATGCCAGTTCCTAATTCTAATGCAATTTTTTAAATTACATTTAACGAAGTTAGTGTTGTTGAAGTAAAGTTTGATATTGTTGTACTGTTTGCGGAAGAGAATAATTCGTCATCAATTAACATACCTGAAACAAAATGAAATAATATCCGATAAAGTAAATTGTTCGATGTGAGGGAGAATATAACAGCCATGTTATTAACGGCGAATTTCAACTTTACCGGCGACGCTAGCTGTGAGGAAACAGACGGCGGTACCAGTAACGAAGGCTCGTACAACGACATTCACTATTTGCTCTTTCTTTTCAGGCGCCAAAGATGAAAAAACGCCGACCTGAATGCCGATTGATCCTGGATTCGCAAAACCGCAGATCGCGAATGTGGCTATTGCTTCCGATCTTCCGTATAATTTGCCTTCCTCCTTCATCTCGCCCATCTTTTGGTAAGCGACTAATTCATTGACCATTGTTTTTAAACCTATCAACGTTCCCACGTGTTCGCAATGTTCCCAAGGAACACCCATCAGCCAACTTAGCGGCATAAAAACATACGCCAGTATGATCTGCAAAACTACAATCTTACAGTTTGCCCCAAAGAATATTAAATAGTAAATATAATTTAAATGCATATAAATTTTTAGAAGCCGGTAAAATAAAAAATGTGTCGAAAAATTTGTCTACCTCGAGACTCAGTTGTTCGTAACCAACGAGACCACCGAACCAAGAGAGCACTCCATTTACAAATGCAATGAAAGCTACAAAAGCTACGATATTTGCAATTATGCCTAAAACGATTGGAAGCGCGGCTAATGCGCCATTCGTTGCGGCATCCAAAATACTACTGTCCGATCTAATTACAATCGAAGTTTTTATAACACAGCCGTTATTAAGACCAGTAATTCGCAAAAATTAAAAATGTCCGATTTATGAAGCACTTACGATTTCTCAAGTTTGATATTTTCGAATTTCGTGTTGCTTTGCTCAGTTTCGGGATAAAAAAGCTTGGAAAAGGCTAAAGCGGTCGGTGCAGACATTATGGAAGCGGTTATTAAATGAGCCGGATTAGCACCGAATGCTATATATGCGGCTAATACCGAACCTGCAACGGGTGGGCAAACATAATTATAAATTGAAATTTAATGCTGTCAGTGACACGTGCATTTATGAAATGTATGTGACATACCGGAAACCGTGGAAAATCCCGAGCTCAATATGGCATGCAACTCTGAGGATGTTAAATCATTGATGTACGGTGTAATCATAAGGGGGGATTCGGACTGAAAGGCAAAATAAATTAGTATAGTTTTAAATTGGAATTAGAAATATTGCGGAAGAATACGAATTATTGTACTTTAGTTGCTTAAACAATGGCAATAAATTTAGTAATATTACCATCCCAATGAAAGGATTAGCCACGGTGGATAATGACTCACACAGCGTTGTACCCATTATGCTTTGCAAAATCCATCCTAGCTTTATGATAATCCATTGCATCGCACCGAGATAGGTCATGATTTGCACCACGAAGCTGAAGAAAAAAATCACAGGCAGCACCTAATGAAGTAATTTATATTAGTAGTAGTTTGTAACAATACAAAAAGTTATAAATCAAAGGAAAATCATTACGAAGATACACTAAGCAATGTAAAAATTTCCTGATAAAATTTTATTTTACATTTCTAAACATATTATGATGCAAAATCAACTGACGCTAAAAGCGAAGACTCCTTTGGTAACTAGATCGTTCGAGAATACAAAGCTGGCGCCAGCTTTAGCGTAATCCAAGAAAGTGGCCACTTTCCCAGACACACACTGGAAAATACTACGACCAACGGGCCATCGAAGCGTAATAAGTCCAAGTATAAATTGTAAAATCAAGCCCCAAATGACGGGTCTCCAATTGATCTGTATACATATGAGATTATATTAAAATAATTGAAAGCTGCAATAAATGAGAGAAACTACATCAACGATTTTATGTTTTAAAAGAATTTAAGTTATTTTAAATTTGTACTTAATATTCGAATTTCTTTCTTTTCTTTCCTGGAAAATGGAATATATGGCGTATAAAAAATTATGAACAAGAGATCCGCGTGCATTAAGTGCATTAGATGATTTAATGAAGTGGGTTAATTCTAGTGGAATTGGCGACGCGTCTACCCACATGCCTCGCAGTAATTTTCCCCGGGCAACGCTCGCGTATGTGTCATAATAATTGGAACGCGTTCGAGTTGATGCGACAGACGGGAATAATTATTATAAAATGTGAAATCCGCGAATCAATTACTCTCTCGTAGATTTATTTCGAGCAATGGTGATAAGAAATTCATTTTCTATGACGTAAGAATTGACAGATAGATCGGAGTCGGCGCTTTATGATATCAAACTCAAGATACGATCAACTTGCCTGTCCCGGATGTTTAGAGAAAATCCAACCTAATCCTAGCAAGACGATAACGCAGAGAATACCAATTAGCCTGTTTCTCGAATTTGCGGTATCGATAATAAGGAAAGTAATAATGGCTATTAGTATAATCAAATAAATAATCGCCATTCCAATACGCGTCCCGTATCTAAAAGTTTTCATAATGTCGGCATTAATCGTTTATATTGTAAATCATTTAAATTATTGAACAAAATAACGTTAATTTTTTACTTGGTACTTTGCAAGCGCTCCAAGAAACTCGTTGCTGGTCGGCAGCATCTTAAAATGTACTTGCCAAAATATCGTTTTACGATCAAAAAATAAAATAAACCAAGATAAGTAAGTCCAGTAAGTATAAGTAGTAAACCATACCCTTCACACCATTGAAAATCGCAATTTTTTTCTAAAAAGAAAAAAAAATCTCAATGAAGAAAGTGTCTTTCTTTGTAAATTTAAATCGATCAATCAGTCAAAATTAAGTTCTGCTGAAACAAATTAACTCACGGTTTTTTCCCCAATATATACCCGCGAAGATTATATAGGTTATTATAAAAAGATTTAAAATTATTAGGCAAAAAATCTTAAAAACTCTTCGGTGTTTTGAAAGATAAGCGTTGATTGCATTGCTGTTGGTTGCCCAAGGTGGTTTTGCTTGACGATAAGAATTACTATTCTGTGAAAACAATGTACTTTATGTATTATTGACTAATATTGCTTGAAATTATTGGATTAATAATGTTTTAAATTATTAGTGTTATACAAAATTTTAAACAACAATAATGTAAAACTACTTTATTCTGCTTTATCTTTATTTTAATTTTTATTAATTTATTATTAAAATAAATTTATATGTAAAAATAACGTTACATTGATAGTATTGTTACTCATTAACTGTAGCAAATTATATATTCTGCTTCTGTATAGTTATTATTATCTTAATTGTTTCCGCACGAAAATGCGCTTGAAAATATTATGTTGAATGATTGAGCATTTCAAACACTGATGTGTATCATATCAATGATTTCAAACAAAAGCATTTTTTTGCAATAACAAACTGATATGCTTACCTGATGCGTAATAGGTTCACTTTTCCGACGACCATCTTCTAACATATCTAACTGATTATCCTATTAATCAAAAGTAACGAACTTTTTTTAATAGCATTTATCGAATAAATATAAGAGTTAAATATAGAGAAAATTAATGATGATTTAAAAGATATAATGGAGATAATACGTAGAAAAAATATATACGTATATTTCGTTGAATATATTTATATATTTCAACTTGCTTAATACTATTAATAATTACTATTAATATAAAAAAATATATTCTTGAATATTTAATAAATTTCACTGTAAATTACAATCTACATATTACTTAATAGAATGTTATTGATAGAAAAGAGAAATTACTTCAAATGCCTGGTTCACCCTTCCAGACATGTCTCACTGCCTTTCACCACACTTTATTAAAATATATATGTATACATATGTCTTCTTTTCGACACTCTTTTCGCTATACTGACGCAAAACGGAAGAATGTGTTTCCCGACATGCGAGGGAATAATAATTCTCGTACACTTTGTAATCTCATTGAAGTTGTATAGCAGATAACGTTGATAACAGGGCGCCTTGTAAAACTTTGACAATTTGTATGTAGGTAATCGACACACTATTATGATTTTCATACATCAGGTCACACAAACATAATTTGATTAATAGTTTGAAATTTTTTCTACATCAATCCCCATTAAATCGCTTTTCTAATTTGAAAAGCTGATAAAACTGTATATTAATTTTATCACAATTTTAGTATCTATTAATCAGGTTATCTGCGCATTGACGTTTCGCGATAAATACTTAAGATGTTGTGGCTTAACGAAGAAAACAATTCGATGACACGCAAAAAATGTATGTACACTGTAAAAACGCTAGGCATTGCTTATTAACTACGTGCAACATGATAAGACGACCGGGAACTACTGAAAATCGGTGATGGAGACATTGTGCAAGGCACAACGAGGTACGCGGACTACGAGTGGGGATACTCCCTTCTTACTATGACATTTTGAATGAAAAAAGATAATGCGAATCCTCTTTTGCAATCGTTGAAACATGATGAATTTTGCTGAGATATAGAATGTCTCAGATTCATCACATTTCTTTTCACTTACGAGTTTCTGTAAGCGATATCTCGGAATACATATTCTTTCGACCTTCAACTTAATATTTTATTACTATGTACAATACTTGATACAGTCATGTTTCCTCCGAATCCTCCGATTTATATAAAATTTTTCGAAATAATTTACACACACGTGGCAAAATTACATATGCTTATCTCTCTGAGAATTGTTAAACTTATCGCAATTGATTAGATATATTTTGTTAAAAAACTTTATTTCTCCAACTATCTTTTAAATAATGCAAAAGTAAACATTAATTAATTTAATTTAAACATCAAGCGTTATTTACGACAAAGAATGAAGATGCAAGGATGTTCTTCATAAAAATATATAAATTCAAGACCTTTTCTTATATATAATTACAATTATAAATCTCGTTGCTTGTTGCATTGTGCACGTTAGAACATACGTGTTTATTTTAAAAATATCTTTTTTTACATGTCTTGAAAAAACGCGTTTAAATATAAAATTACGTACTACTATTTATATAGTTTATATAATTTCTTATATCATCGTTGTGTATTATTCAATTCTTAAAATTTTCGTCTCGCGAGCGTGATACAATAATCATGTTTACTTCAACGGTGCAACGATACGGAATTTATCTTTTAAATTATCATAATCGCATCAAAAACTTTATTTGACGGAAATCACTTTTGACTGTATTTCCTGTGTTTTATTACGCGATTTATTAACGGAAACAAGCTCTTTCCACATAGCTAATCTTACCTTGAGTTTTCTTATTATTTATCTTATTAATGAAAAGTAAATGATAGCGAGCGATTTGTCAGACTGATACCAAAAGACGAATGAAAAATATCAAATTGCGTATTTTGCTTCGTGTCATTCTCGCATGCGTACACGTGCAACCATCACGCGACGTGTCTTAACGGATCGCCGCGAGGTCTGACACGTGAGATGCAATCTAAACAGGTGCATAAAAATTCTCGCGCCGCCACGACTCAGACGCATGGGCGTGCAGTTAATCGGTATTGCCGATAAACAGGACGAGACGTAGAAACTGGAGAACTAAACCGGAAGACGGGGCCATGCCTCGCACACAATTCGGTGGCCGTGAAAAAAATGCGTTTTGAAGTGGTTATTATGTAATTGCGTACAACAATGACCGTGACATAACTGCAACGGTTTTTTTTTCTTCGATGCAAGAACGATAAAAAACTATGACGGATAGAAAACTATGACAGAAAATTGCCTACGTTCTGACTTATATTGGGGACGCTTGCAGAGTCACACACATTTGCATACATTTAACGATAACGTATAATACTTTTGCAGTTATTATTTGTATTTACCAAGAAGTTCAAATTTAGTATATATATATATATATATATATATATATATATATATGTATATGTGCATCGTATCTTTTTAATAATTTTAAATAAACGTATTGTAATTTTATTTATATATTGTGTGAATTATAAATATTATAATCCTTTCATACAATTATGTTTGATAAGGGACTTTAAATTTAAATGAAAAGATATAAATTTTAGATAAACATCAAAGATAAATATCAAATTGTTCTTTATATTCATACAAACAACTATCATTCAATAAGCAGTACACATGCTACGCATGTCCTTGACGCGAAACATTACCGCGTGTCTCTTGTTAAATACATTTGAATAAGAAGGATGACAAATAGAAATATCGTAAAGTTATATAAAAGAATTTACAAAGTAATCGTAAACGTCATGAGTTATCGATAGGTAGTATCTTAATGTTTATTTGTTCGGCGTGATTTTTAGATGAACTTGACTTCGAATATAAAAGTGATTTAATGATACGGCGGTGATAAAGTGGGCAAACTTATCTATTCTATTTTGCAGTTCAATGTAATACAATTAAACGTTCGATGATAAGAATTATTAGATTTAGAGCCGTATATAATTGCGTTTCCCTGTGACTTCTCTCTTGATATTGATCCTGATATTTTTCTCAAGATGAGATCCAATTTATTTCATAAATACGAATGTTAGTATTCATAAATTCGTTAATTTTGAGTTTCAATTGTTAAAAGTCTTAGCTAGTAAAACAGTTTTAGCTATATTACATTAAAAACGAAATCTAAAATTAATTATAAAAATTAAATAAAGGATTTTGTAATCTAATTATTTCTAGTCACATACACACAAAACATGCATGTAGAATTTCGAAACTCGAAATACGACATGTCATGTGTTATACTATATTAAAATGCAATACGTTAATAATGTTGTAATGAGATTATGAACTTAATTTTGGAAAGTCGTATGCGTTATTTAAAAACATCCGGTAAACTGATACGGAATACTTTGCAGTATACGAAGAAATGTACAGATTTCAAAAGAACACGCATATATTGATGATATATAGTCGATAACACACTCGAGTAACTAACCCTAAATTAGTCAAAGAGCTTAACGCTACAATATTTTTCAGATGATTCACGATATCCTACACGTTTATTGTTAAATCCACACAAAGATATAGATTGTCCTGTATAAATCACGAAGCAGGAAGTCCGAGTAATCGGAGGCTCTCAAGGCTAAACCGTCTGGCTGCTGGCGAGGAACAAAAAAACCGAAGATGAGCTTATCTCGTCGAGACGACGCGCGACGAGAGAACATTATTTTGCTGAGAATCATGTTCGAATTTTTGTTTGAAGCGATGCGCGACGGATCGAGTTCTACCTTCGCGCTGTAAGCGTTCTCCCTTCCGTTTGATAAAGAGCCGAGGTAATTCAAATCTATTTCTCGGGCGAGACTATTGTGAGTCGTTAAAAAAAAAGATGTTCTGCGGAAATCACCTATTTGAAACCACGCTAGCCTCCTCCTTGTTTTCGATTTGTGCATTCTGTACATTTTAGATAGCCGCGAGTTGTATAAATTGTCAAGTAAATGTTTTGATTAGATCAGCGTAATTTTTTACGATATAAACAGAAATAATTCTCGCCGACGTAAGGCCTGCTTTCACTAGTGGATTATATTCCGCTTGGACTCCCTTTTCGACACTGTCACATGACGTAATAATGTGTTTAGTCTGCCGAATGTTTTAGACTTCGTGATATTTACAAACGGTCTGCTGTTACTCGAGAAAGAGGAACAAAGGTTTTTGAGAGGAAAGAAATTAGCCTGTGCAGCATCTTATTATCTGACATAATCGTTGCGCACAGAGAGCGATCGAAATAATACTAGGTTTTTTTATTAAAATTTACTTGGTAGATTTTTGGATTACAGAATTTAACAATATTGAAATTCTAATCTGTTTTATTGCATACCATAGCAATATATATGAAATTCTAATCTGTTTCATTGCGTATACTATATTTATACTGTTCCATCCGACCACCATGAGCCCAGACTATTTGGGCAATAGATCTCCTTTTTATTTACGTCTGCTTTACTGCGCGGCCTTGATAACTCTACGCGAAAATTATTCTATTTTCTACGTGCACATGGTAGCGTAGCTAGGCGTGCCAGCTTTAGATTTCTGGCATCGCGCCAAGAGCAATATAAATAGCCAAATTTGCAGAACGTAACTCGTACATTCGTGGCGAGCTACAACATCGCGTTTCGCGGATATCGATTGAAGGGCTGCCTGGAAAAATGTTGCAACCATCATTTTTATGAAAAAAGTGATGTTTTAATGGAAAAACATCGCTCGTGAATTGGCTAACATGATTTTTTTTATATTCTCAAGGCTTTCACGAGTATTCTCTTTAAAAGTGCTAATAGGTTTACGAGTTTTCTCGGTGTCTTAATACATTTTTATGCCATGTATAACGAACGATGCTGTTCGCTTCATCACTCATCAGGTCAAAGAGCGTTTTTTTTTATTTCCTGTAAAATTTAAAAAAATGTTGGATGCGCGACGTTCTTCCAGGGAGCCCATCGATTGTCGAAATCGCCGTAGATGGCTTAAGAAACCATCGTATCAACGTCGAATAACTCTCCGAGTACTCCGAGACGAATCCGACGCGCGGAAATGCGGACTCTACTGCCTCGACCGCGGAAATAGTACCTGCTGAACTGCCTGATACTGGACACACGAGAGCAGGGAAATTAAACATTCCGCAGAATTCCATCGTCCTTCTCCTTCATCCCTCTATACCTCTTCGCCTCGTTTCAAACGGTTCGCCTTGGAACGCCGCGTTCGAGACGCCGTCAACATCGACGTCCCGCCATTTCTTATCGCCTCCCTTGGCTCGAAAACAAGAGCATCGAATTTAACCATTTCGTTAGAACAGAAATGCGTACACAACTTTGTCCTGTCATTCGACGCTGTAAAAATTCAAACTAAAACTCGAATTACAGACAGCTGACTTTTACATTGTCAGCAATTTCGTGTGCGTATCTATGCGCGTCTTAGATTTATTATTTCATTTTACTCCATTTATTAGAAACTGATGCAGTTATTCTACTCTCCAGTTTCTGTATAGCATAATTGGTAATAGGATATTTTGTACAATTTTTACTATGTCGAATGAAAACATTGGCCACATTATAAATTGGAATTACGTAATCGCGATGCCCGACGACGATGAATCGGTTGTCGCGTACGTGGCATAATTCGTGATTAGCCATCTCGTCATTATGCGATTTAACCAGAGGGAACACATACGTAACTGCACGTACACTTCCTTCCTCGTGTTCTCGTGTTTCTTCTTTACTCTCGTTTCGTTGGAATGCCGATTCATCCGTCATCGTCTGTCGCAGCACGCGACACCCTTCGGTGGCTACACAGATCGTGTTCCACCTTGTAATTCTCCTACAGTACTTCCGATATC